CATGAACGTATTTGACAAATGGTTTTTAATACTTGATGTGCTGTTGTAGTGGATTCAGGGAAACCGGCAGGCTGGACTTGAGTCCTGGAGATGGGAAGTACAGTGTCTACACTCTGAAAGTGGGGTGTTACTGTTGCAGTTTTATAACTGTAGTGTAAAGCACCCCTCTGGCAAGACAGTGATGGAGTGAATGATGATGAAAGTTTTTCTTTTTCGGGCCACCCTGTCTTTGTGGGAATTGGCCGATGTGTTAATAAAAAAAAATAATAATAATAATTTCCCATGAAGCATGATGTAAGACTAGTGTCACTCCACTGCTGACAGTGCATCAATGGTGACATTTGATGAGCGTGCACTGTCTTGGCTTTGTTTTCACTGTTACACACAAACATGTCTGTTTCTGTCTAGTTCTCTGTTTATCTCTGTCTCTGCTTATCTGTCTCTGCTTGTCTCTTTCTGCTTATCTGTCTCTTTCTGTCTGACGAGTGTCACTCCACTGCTGACAGTGCAGTCCTGGTGACAGTTGATGAGCGTACACTGTCCTGGCTTTATTTGTTTTCACTGTTACACCTAAACACGACTGTCTATCTGTCTGTCTGTCTAGCTATCTGTTTGTCTAGCCCTCTTTCTATCTAGCTCACTGTCCAGCTCTGTCTGTCTAACTCTCCATCTGTCTGTTTATCTCCATCTATCTCTCTGTTTATCTCTGTCTCGGTTTGTCTCTGTCTCAGAGAGAGCCACTCGTGAACCAACAGGTATTACACATGACGTCTGCATCGTCACGTCTGATCCCTCAGCAAGTGTAAATACGTATTACTTGCCAGTCTTGCATACTACGCATTGTACGTATCTAAAGCACAGTACAGCACTTTGTCTGGATTTTTTGGGTTATCCTAGGTAATTTACACTATGTATAATTGTATTTGTGTACCTGTGATACAGATATAGACAGAGATAGACAAACAGATAGAGACACATACAGAGATAGACAGATAGAGGTAGACAGATACAGGGATAGATATAGAGACAGATACAGAGATAGAGACAGCCAAAGTCAATCAGCCAGCCACCTGCCCAGCCAGCCAGCCAGCCTGCTGAACATGTATAACATGTTCCAGAATTGTTTCTCTTTACTTAGGGCATAGTTTATAAGACATTCTGGAAGGATGACACTACCAGTGGTACCAAAATTGAAAGGATGTTGCACACGGGTTATTATTGAAGTTTTTGATATTTCCTCGACCACGTGTGGCCACATCTACTTCAAAGCCACTAATCTCAGGGTCAACATAACTTTCCTCTTAAAAATGAGAGTGTTAATACTGCATGACATCAGTGAATCCCAGGTGTTTGCTGTGCTGTTTTCTCTAGCTGGTGCTTAATTGAACTGGTGCTCCTACAAGGTACTAAGTGGTCCCAGATTTTTTTAGTACTGTGCACACCAAGTGTTAAGACCCATTCTATGCTGACCAGGCATCTCAGGCCAATCATGCCAAATTTGGAGGCAGGAAAAATAAAATGTAGATCTATGTTTGGAGCGCTAGCAGTAAGAATGTAGATCTACATTTGGACAGTTAAGGGCTTAAGAGTGAGTTTGTTTGTAGTCATCCATGCTGATAGTTTTAAGAGCTCATTATTGATATTGTTATTGAGAGAAGTCAGATTTGAATTGCTTATGACAATAGTTGTCATAAGCAAACAGAATAGGTTCAAGGAGACAAGATGCATTGGGGAGATCGTTGATGTATATGAGGAAGAGCAATTGGCCAAGAACACTGTCCTGAGGCACTCCTACATCATTGGGGCAGGTTGATGAGGTGATGCCATTGATGGAGACATACAGAGGTTGGTGGATGAATTTGGTAGGGTATGCAAAAGAAGAAAATTAAAAGTGAATACAGGAATGAGTAAGGTTATGAGGATAACAAAAAGATTAGGTGATGAAAGATTGGATATCAGATTGGAGGGAGAGAGTATGGAGGAGGTGAATGTATTCAGATATTTGGGAGTGGACATGTCAGCGGATGGGTCTATGAAAGATGAGGTGAATCATAGAATTGATGAGGGGAAAAGGGTGAGCGGTGCACTTAGGAGTCTGTGGAGACAAAGAACTTTGTCCTTGGAGGCAAAGAGGGGAATGTATGAGAGTATAGTTTTACCAACACTCTTATATGGGTGTGAAGCATGGATGATGAATGTTGCAGCGAGGAGAAGGCTGGAGGCAGTGGAGATGTCATGTCTGAGGGCAATGTGTGGTGTGAATATAATGCAGAGAATTCATAGTTTGGAAGTTAGGAGGAGGTGCGGGATTACCAAAACTGTTGTCCAGAGGACTGAGGAAGGGTTGTTGAGGTGGTTCGGACAGGTAGAGAGAATGGAGCGAAACAGAATGACTTCAAGAGTGTATCAGTCTGTAGTGGAAGGAAGGCGGGGTAGGGGTCGGCCTAGGAAAGGTTGGAGGGAGGGGGTAAAGGTTTTGTGTGTGAGGGGCTTGGACTTCCAGCGGGCATGCATGAGCGTGTTTGATAGGAGTGAATGGAGACAAATGGTTTTTAATACTTGACGTGCTGTTGGAGTGTGAGCAAAGTAACATTTATGAAGGGATTCAGGGAAACCGGCAGGCTGGACTTGAGTCCTGGAGATGGGAAGTACAGTGCCTGCACTCTGAAGGAGGGGTGTTAATGTTGCAGTTAAACATTAAAGTGGTATAAAATACCGACAGGTTGTTAGGTAAGACACATATGCAACAGTTAGGTATCTTTATTTCGAAACGTTTCGCCTACACAGTAGGCTTCTTCAGTCGAATACAGAAAAGTTGATAGAAGCAGAAGAGACTTGAAGACGATGTAATCAGTCCATCACCCTTAAAGTTTTGAGGTGGTCAGTCCCTCAGTCTGGAGAAGAGCATTGTTCCAAAGTCTGAAACAATATGAGTTGAAGTGACAGGATGGAGCCTTATATAGCACCAGGAGGTGAGACGTAGGTCACTAGTAGAACGCAGATGTTGGGAGGTCAGGTCCCTCTCAAATCCAGCCGTTCTCACTAGAAGAGGTTGTCGAAGTAGATTTCAGGTCTGTACCAAGATACCCTTGTGTTGCAGTGTCTGACAGATTAAACATTAAAGTGGTATAAAATACCGACAGGTTGTTAGGTAAGACACATATGCAACAGTTAGGTATCTTTATTTCGAAACGTTTCGCCTACACAGTAGGCTTCTTCAGTCGAATACAGAAAAGTTGATAGAAGCAGAAGAGACTTGAAGACGATGTAATCAGTCCATCACCCTTAAAGTTTTGAGGTGGTCAGTCCCTCAGTCTGGAGAAGAGCATTGTTCCAAAGTCTGAAACAATATGAGTTGAAGAGGATTTGAGAGGGACCTGACCTCCCAACATCTGCGTTCTACTAGTGACCTACGTCTCACCTCCTGGCGCTATATAAGGCTCCATCCTGTCACTTCAACTCATATTGTTTCAGACTTTGGAACAATGCTCTTCTCCAGACTGAGGGACTGACCACCTCAAAACTTTAAGGGTGATGGACTGATTACATCGTCTTCAAGTCTCTTCTGCTTCTATCAACTTTTCTGTATTCGACTGAAGAAGCCTACTGTGTAGGCGAAACGTTTCGAAATAAAGATACCTAACTGTTGCATATGTGTCTTACCTAACAATGTTGCAGTTTAAAAACTGTAGTGTAAAGCACCCTTCTGGCAAGACAGTGATGGAGTGAATGATGGTGAAAGTTTTTCTTTTTCGGGCCACCCTGCCTTGGTGGGAATTGGCCGATGTGTTAATAAATTTAATAAAAAAAAATACTGGTGTCTGTTACTAAGATAAAACTAGGTATGCAAGAGTATGACCTCTGATACCAAAATGTTCAAGATGCTGGATGTTGTGTTCCACTGTATTGAAGGCTTTCTGCAGGTCTATGAAGAGGCCCAGAAGATATTCATTATTTTCAAGAGCTGCATAAAGTAGTTGAAGCATTTTTACAATTGCATCATTTCTACTTTTTTGGGGGGGGGGGGCTAAAACTAAACTGGTAGGGGTTGAATAAAGTGTGAGACACTAGGAAGGAATGAATGAACTTATGAATTATTTTTTCATAGATTTTAAATAGCAATGGCAAGTTGGATATTGGCCTATATCTATTTACCTCAGTTGAATCACTGCCATTGTGTATCAAATCAAACAAAAATTAAAATTTTATTTCTTTGCTAAGGTTACAATGTGTGTTTACATTTCATAATTTGATTGGTACAAAGGAAGCCATGATCATGCCGTGGTATTTCGGGCAGACTTAACCTACTACTTAAAGACTACTTAAGTCTAGGATAATCCTTGCTATCTTAAGCTTCATTGGAAAAGTTCTGGTTTCTAATGATTTGTTAAAGTTGCAGTAGTGGGCGATAGCACATGAGCTGCTTTTTTTGTACATTAGTGATGGTAACTTAGTTAGGTTTCCTGTCTTGTTTTTCAATGAATTTACTATAATTGTAGGGTTAGTTGTAGCTAAACAGTTTGAAAATCTTCCAGTAAGGTAGTCACTTGCCTGGTAATTTAAATATTTAAGGTTTTGCCTGCTAGACTTGATCCCATAGTAGAGAAGAAATCATTTAGTATTTTAGCTGTTTCAGCAGGCTGTATGTAAGGTACATGTGGTTTAATTTAGACTATGTCTCTGGTTTTGCCAGTTTCCAAAAACCCAGGATTTATCATAGGGTTCTCTAGGTCTTTTTCATATCTATTTATTTAATTAAACCTGCTAATGTTTACATACTAATGTATGTAGCTGTTGCAGTTTTTAGCAAACATCCTTTGCAGTTAATTATCAATTAATGCATTTCCTCTTCCAGCTATTTTGATACAGATCACTTATCTTATTTAAATATAATATGGAAGGGAAGAATTCATGGAAATTGCTAATTCAATATAAAATTCAATTTTTAAGCATGGGGGGATTTGTAATATTTGTTGTAATGTATGCCTCTTCAAGCAGGGAGGGGGTCCTTGACGTGGTGAAGATGCTCTTGATCTAAGGAACTGGACTTTTTTGTCTACTTCTCTGGACCAAACCTAATTCCCCACCCTACCCCCTTTCTCCATTTATCCCCTCTCCTCTCCTCCCTTTCCTACACTCAGCCTTTGGGGATTTTTCCTTGGAAATTATAGCTCCTTGGTTGAGAAAAAAAAATCTTTGTTCATCCCATTCTGTTGAGGCCCTCAGTGGTGGTGTTATTTGCCATGGCATCTAGGTCTTCTAGGGATGTGCTGATCCATCCACCAGAGCTCTGGAGGGCGGCTTTGGGTGTCCTCAGCATGGTGGGTATATCTCTGGAGGCTACCTGTCAGTTCCGGGAGGTGGCGGCCAAAGGGAGGGGGTTATACCTCTTGGAGGGTATCTGACCACCCTCTTTTATGTTTGCCGAGGTGGCTTGGTGGATGTGAAGCTGCTATCCTGGAGTGCTAGTTTACTGGCATGAAGGGTAGGATACAGATTTTATGCAGCATCTGCACTACCAGCAGGGCCTCTTGGACATGGATGAGGATATATGGTCTCTTTGTTTCTCCTTAGAGCTATCCTCCTCCCACACCTTTCTTTTTCTTCCTTTTTTTTTTAATGAAAATAAAAATAAAAACCTTGTCATGGAGACACCCATGAACTCCCTCCTCCCAGGTCCCTTCCTCATATGACCCCAGCACGTCAATGGACCTTTCCAAGAACCCAGCACTGCATCTGGGTAATATCTCTTTGCCTGACTCCAGTACTGAGGTTTCAGTTGACCCTTTCAATATGTCTGACCTTCACACAACCCTGACTATGATTCCGACTTTTCCCTACAGTGCGTCGATTTTCGGATTGTTCACACATCAGAGGACAGATCAACTCCAGTCCCCTGTTCAAGCGGCCTCAACCTGTAACCGATGAAACTAACCCTGTTACTACTCTCTCTCGCTCTTATTCTCAGAAACAACCTGCTCGACAATCTCTCCCTTTACAATCTGTATTGCAAGGTAACTTGTGGACTAAATTCTTTACTCTTCAACCAATGACACCTATAGAGTATCTTTCAAATTATAGTATTAGCAAAGTGCTCTTGCAACATGTTGGGCAAACTTTACATTTCATGTTCTCATGAGAAGTGTATGTATTGTCATTGTACAAAATGCTGAGCAAGCTTGCAGTATTTCTCCTTAGCTCCATTGACAACACTCCTGCCATGATACATAAGCATTCTTCTCTCAATTCTTGCTGTGGAACTGCTGTTCTTCCGTATACCATCATTCAACAAGATTTTCTAGCATGTGATGCAGACATGGAGCAACCTGCGCTTAAGGTAGACACTTACGTCCTTCCTGTCCATAGCCAAAGATGCTATCATTGAAATATAGCTAAATTAACATTTGACTGCCATGAACTTCTACACTCAAGATATATATAGCAGGACAGCACTTACAAATACAGGAATTAATCCCTACACCACAACAATGTAGATATTGCAGAGGTTTTGGCCACCCAGCTAAATATTACAGGTCAGTGGCAGAACGCCCAGTTTGTGGTGCAGCTGACCATAGCAATCCAGCCTGCAGCCGACCTTCCACTTGCCTTAACTGTGTAGAGGTGCATACTGCATGTTTTAGATGTTGCTTGATTTTCTTAAAAGAAAGGGAAATCTGTTGTCTTAAGGAGAAGGAGGGTTTCTCTAATGCCATGACGGTTTCTCATCTCTAACTTCACAGGAGACTCCCACAGCTTATCTACTCCAGAGTTGCTAGATGGCCTCAAATCTCTGCGGTACCTACTTCCACAGTGACCTCTGTGCCCAACCTCTTGTGCAGTCCTTGCCTCTGAGGGTCTTACCTCATCTGCCACTGTCCTTCATCATCTCTCATTTGCATGTTTCACCATCTACATGGCCTCCCCAATTAAATCATCATCTTATGTTACCACATCCCCAAAGTCTAAAACATCACTGTAAGTACACAACTCCTTCAGCCCCTCAGCCTTGTATCATTTCCCAACACGGTACTTTTCCAGTCTGAGTCTAGTCCTTTACCTCATAATACATCAGTTACTGTTGTGGAAGTTCATTCACCCCCCACACCCACCCCTGTCTCCACTCAAGTTTTTTCCCACCAAGGTACTTCTAACCTCTCATTATCTTTCCCTTCTTTGACAGGTACTGACGTGTCTCCAATCTTTACTCAACCTACATCTGCTTCTGACACCATGCTTCCTTCAGCTTCCTTGTCAACTTAAACAATTTAAGTCATCTCCACATTTATTGAGGAGACAAAACCAGTTATGGACACCGACCCACCACCCAAAATTACACATTCACTTCTTCCTCATCCTTCTACATTTACTTCTACACAACATCTTTCTTCTCAGAGTGCCAGTAATTTACTTCTTGCTAATTTCCTGCTATCCCCACACACTGATGTCACAGACATTCCTAGTCAATAGACAACTGTTTGCTGTTGTTGTTATGTATATTTCTAATCACAGATTATAAACTTGAGGATAATTGGATGTTGCTTCAGGCAGTGCTCTCCTGTTTTTCCCTGTATATGTCATTACAAGGAATAAAATTACACTCTGCTGTTGTCCTTCCCTTCCCAGGCTACATTTTACAGCGGTCACCAGATTCCTTTCCTGATGGGACATAGTGAAAGCACACTTTTCGTACATGTTGAAATATGTACCACATTCTCGGATATTTGTTCATAATTACAGTGGAACCTCGGTTTTCATCATTAATTCGTTCCAGAAAGTCTGACGAAAACCGAATTCAGCGAAAACTGAAGCAATATTTCCCGTAAGAAATAATGTAAATCCAATTAATCTGTTCCAGACACCCAAAAGTATTAACAAAAAATACATTTTATAGAGAATAACTATAGTTTTACATACAGAAAACAATGAGAAATAAATATAAAGGACTAATGAAATGGATAAATGAACATTTAACATCACTTATACCTTTACTGAAGAGACTTGTTGGCGTATGGAAGACGGCAAGGAGGGGAGAGGGAGGAGAGGTTATCTCTTCCACACTCTACCACCATCACTACCACCCTCACTACCATCCTCTACCACCATCCTCTACCACCATCACTACCACCCTCTACCACCATTACTACCATCCTCTACTGCCATCACTACCACCCTCTACCACCATCACCACCACCCTCTACCACCATCACTACCACCCTCTACCACCATCACTACCACCCTCTACCACCATCACTACCACCATTACTACCATCCTCTACCACCATTACTACCATCCTCTACCACCATCACTACCATCCTCTACCACCACCCTCTACCACCATCACTACCACCCTCTACCCCCATCACTACCACCCTCTACCTTTGTAAAGGGTGGTAGTGATATTTCTCCAAAAAACTCTGCAACTCATTCTATGAGTTTTCTTGAATTCTATTGTGTTTCTAGCCTTTTTTCTCAAAAGGTTGGGTAATGCTCACTCGACGTGAAATAAAGTCAACTCAATGAAAATCGAGGTGATGAACGAAAACTGGGACAAAATTTTACCGAAAAATGTTGTCGAAATCCGAATTCGACGAAAACTAGGGCAAACGAAAACCAAGGTTCCACCATACACTAAATCCTGTATCTACTTGAACAAGTGGTATATCTTTTTCCTAGATCATTATCTAATAATGATGTTGATTTTCTGGTTTCTTCCTTTTGGGGAGAGTTTCACTGTGACTCTCCCAGTGATCAGTTGGAGGCTTTTCTCACTTCTCTTCCCCTCTACATTTTAAATACTGGTACTCCTACTCATTTTGACCATCACATTCAAACTGTTTCTTGCATAGCTCTTTATATTTGCTCTTTTTCAACTGCTCTTGACTTGGTCTGTAGTACTGGATCTACACAACAGTGTGATCATTTCCCTATTCTCCTTACTTCCTGTTTGTATTTCCAACCTTGTAGCTCACGTTGACAATTCAAACAAGTGGATTGGGTCCTTTATTCACATCAAACCTTTTTTTTAGTGAGGAACCTCCTCTTTTGCCTCCCCCAGATGAGTTGTCAAAAGTATTTATATCCTCTGCTTTAACTGCAGCTTCAAATGCAATCCCTCAAACCTCAGATAGGCATCCTCGGAAATATGTGCCCTGGTCGACCCCTTCTTGTACATGTGCATTGCAATTGAAACATGCTGCATGGGGCTGCTACCATTGTAATATAACCACAGATCCCCTCCTTGATTTTAAACAAGCAAGAGCGATTGCCTGGCATGTAATTGATCAAACAAAATGCACTTGTTGGCAGGATTGTTCGTCACTTCTACTGCTTCCAAGAGTGTAATTTGGAAAAAAGTACAGAAATCGAGTGACAAGTACTCTCCAGACCCAGCTGTCATTCTTAAGGTTGCTGGCACCAGCATTGCAAATTCTGCTGAGGTTGACAGAAATTGGATAGCATCTTGTTTATATATCTCAGGGGCTCCATCTGTGTCCCTCATTTCTTTCCTCCAAATCTGCTAGAGAGTTAACACCTTTAGATTTTACTTCTAGCATAGAGGAATCATAATGTGCCTTTTACATCTGGAGTTTACCTGGAGTTTACCTGGAGAGAGTTTCGGGGGTCAACGCCCCCGCGGCCCGGTCTGTGACCAGGCCTCCTGGTGGATCAGCGCCTGATCAACCAGGCTGTTGCTGCTGGCTGCACGCAAACCAACGTACGAGCCACAGCCCGGCTGATCAGGAACTGACTTTAGGTGCTTGTCCAGTGCCAGCTTGAAGACTGCCAGGGGTCTGTTGGTAATCCCCCTTATGTGTGCTGGGAGGCAGTTGAACAGTCTCGGGCCCCTGACACTTACTGTATGGTCTCTTAACGTGCTAGTGACACCCCTGCTTTTCATTGGGGGGATGGTGCATCGTCTGCCAAGTCTTTTGCTTTCGTAATGAGTGATTTTCGTGTGCAAGTTCGGTACTAGTCCCTCTAGGATTTTCCAGGTGTATATAATCATGTATCTCTCCCTCCTGCGTTCCAGGGAATACAGGTTTAGAAACCTCAAGCGCTCCCAGTAATTGAGGTGTTTTATCTCCGTTATGCGCGCCGTGAAAGTTCTCTGTACATTTTCTAGGTCGGCAATTTCACCTGCCTTGAAAGGTGCTGTTAGAGTGCAGCAATATTCCAGCCTAGATAGAACAAGTGACCTGAAGAGTGTCATCATGGGCTTGGCCTCCCTAGTTTTGAAGGTTCTCATTATCCATCCTGTCATTTTTCTAGCAGATGCGATTGATACAATGTTATGGTCCTTGAAGGTGAGATCCTCCGACATAATCACTCCCAGGTCTTTGACGTTGGTGTTTCGCTCTATTTCGTGGCCAGAATTTGTTTTGTACTCTGATGAAGATTTAATTTCCTCATGTTTACCATATCTGAGTAATTGAAATTTCTCATCGTTGAACTTCATATTGTTTTCTGCAGCCCACTGAAAGATTTGGTTGATGTCCGCCTGGAGCCTTGCAGTGTCTGCAATGGAAGACACTGTCATGCAGATTCGGGTGTCATCTGCAAAGGAAGACACGGTGCTGTGGCTGACATCCTTGTCTATGTCGGATATGAGGATGAGGAACAAGATGGGAGCTAGTACTGTGCCTTGTGGAACAGAGCTTTTCACCGTAGCTGCCTCGGACTTTACTCTGTTGACGACTACTCTCTGTGTTCTGTTAGTGAGGAAATTATAGATCCATCGACCGACTTTTCCTGTTATTCCTTTAGCGCGCATTTTGTGCGCTATTACGCCATGGTCACACTTGTCGAAGGCTTTTGCAAAGTCTGTATATATTACATCTGCATTCTTTTTGTCTTCTAGTGCATTTAGGACCTTGTCGTAGTGATCCAGTAGCTGAGACAGACAGGAGCGACCTGTTCTAAACCCATGTTGCCCTGGGTTGTGTAACTGATGGGTTTCTAGATGGGTGGTGATCTTGCTTCTTAGGACCCTTTCAAAGATTTTTATGATATGGGATGTTAGTGCTATTGGTCTGTAGTTCTTTGCTGTTGCTTTACTGCCCCCTTTGTGGAGTGGGGCTATGTCTGTTGTTTTTAGTAACTGAGGGACGACCCCCGTGTCCATGCTCCCTCTCCATAGGATGGAAAAGGCTCGTGATAGGGGCTTCTTGCAGTTCTTGATGAACACAGAGTTCCATGAGTCTGGCCCTGGGGCAGAGTGCATGGGCATGTCATTTATCGCCTGTTCGAAGTCATTTGGCGTCAGGATAACATCGGATAGGCTTGTGTTAATCAAATTTTGTGGCTCTCTCATAAAAAATTCATTTTGATCTTCGACTCTCAGTCTGGTTAGCGGCTTGCTAAAAACTGAGTCATATTGGGACTTGAGTAGCTCACTCATTTCCTTGCTGTCATCTGTGTAGGACCCATCTTGTTTAAGTAGGGCCCCAATACTGGGCGTTGTTCTCGATTTTGATTTGGCATAGGAGAAGAAATACTTTGGGTTTCTTTCGATTTCATTTATAGCTTTTAGTTCTTCCCGCGATTCCTGACTCCTAAAGGATTCTTTTAGCTTAAGTTCTATGCTTGCTATTTCTCTGACCAGTGTCTCCCTGCGCATTTCAGATATATTGAACTTGAGTCAACAGTTTCTACTTGCCGACCATCAGCAGCTGAATCTGATGCCATTCATATTTGTATGCTTCAGCATTTACATCCAGTTTCCCTCTTCATCCTTTTACACCTCTTTAATCTTGTTTGCTTGCAAGGGGCTCTTCTCATCCATGGAAAACTGCCATTGTTCTACTTCAGGCCATGATGCCTTTCACTATCGATCCATTGCTCTTATTAGTGCAGTTTGCAAGTTGCTGGAATGTCTTGTAAATAAAGTTATCTTTCCACTCGTCATTTTTGCTTTCTTAAGAACCACTCCACTATCAACCTCTTAATCCCTTTAGATACCTATGTTTGAAATGTTTTTGCTAGTAAACACTTAGCTATTGCAGTCTTTTTTCATCTTTAAAAAACTTATGACATTACCTGCTATTATAACATTTTGGCACAAGCTCATTCCTTAGGCCTTTGAGACAATTTGTCACCTTGCCTTAACAGTTTCTTTTCTGAGACACATTTCTGTGTCTGGGTTAAAAATGTATTTTCCCCTGACTTTGTCCAGGCTGAAGGTGTCCCTCATCATTGTGTGCTTAGCACCACTTTTTCTACACACTATCAATGACCTTGCCTCTGTTCTCCAATCTGAAGTTTGGTCATCACTATGTCAACAATTTTGCTATAGCTTGCAGGCACTGACTGCCACCTGGTTGCAGCCTCAAACTAGAATGTTATCAACTGTTTACCACTGGATCACCTCTCATGGATGTAAATTTTCTGTAATTAAAATACATACGATTACTTTTACAAGACACACTGTTATCCCTAATATTGCATTGTGCCTGTATTGTTCCATTTTCTTAGACTTGTGTGATCATCAGATGTCCTGGAAACCTTTCATAACCTCCTTGGGAGCAACTTCCCTTATCCGGCTGAACCTCCATAATACTTTTGCCCATCTTTCCTGGAGTGCTGATAGATGAACTCTTCTTTGACTCCATTCTGCTCTAATCTTATTGAAACTGCATTATGGCAATCATCTGTATTCTGCAGCCTCTCCTGCAATTCTTTCTAAACTTGATCCCATTCATTATCAAGAGTTGCACGTGTCTAGGTGCTTCTCATTCATTTCTGGTTGGGAGCCTGTATGGAGAGGTGAATCTTCCATCTTTATAAGATCGGCATGATGTCTATTGTCTCCATTAGTTTTGTCTACTCTCATAAACTTCATGACCCTTCTACAAATAGGACTGTAACAAATGTTAGTGAAAGTCCTTTGTTTGATTGCTTCCCCTCTTTACTATATTCCTGTTCTCTCTACTAGCACACTCTTGGCTTCCCTTCATTTACCCCCCCTTTTCCTGTATGTTCATGCAGCATCTAACTCCTCTTTTCCCTTGGGAGGTTCCAATGATTCATGGCTGTTTCTACCCCATTTCCACATGCATAAGCTCAATTACCAACTGTAGTTTCTTGCTCCCTTTTTCTTAACTACTACTGATGTCATTCTCATTCCATTACAGCCTACACTGATGGTTCTAAGTCCTCTGAAGGTGTCAGATTTGCAGCAGTTTTTCTGGACAGAGTTATATAAGGTCATTTATTAGTCAGCTAGCATTTTTGCAGCTGAGTTGTTAAATGCATCTCATGGCTGTTATATGTATTGCATCCCTTCCTACCTCAACATTTGTGGTAGTTTCAGACTCCCTTAGTGCATTACAGGCTGTCCAAAAATTTTATTCTCCTCATCCACTTGTTCTTTGTTTACAACTTTGGTTGCACTGCATTTCTAGTAAATACAAAGACATCATTTTCTGTTGGGTCCCTGGACATGTGGATGTTCAAGGCAATGAGCAGGCAGACTGCTGCACAGTCAGTTGTTCATGACCTCATTTCATATAGGGGTATTCCATTCTCAGACTTGCAATAATCTCTGGACAACTTCACAACCATTGGCAATAAGGGTGGTCTGAGGTAGTCCATAATAAATTGCACCCTCTCAAATCTTGTTTGGGTTTCTGGTCATCTTTTTATCATTGTTGTTGTGTTTCAGAGACTACTTTCTCATCTACATATCAGACATATTTTACACGTGGTTAACTCTTGGAGACACATTCAGCACCGCTCTGAGAGATTTGTCAAGTTCTGTTGTCAGTTCATCTGTTAATAAACTGTCCTGTCTATCAGCTGGCATGCAGAATTTATTTTCAGCATCATCACTCTAAAGCATTTTATCTGACCTCCTTGCTGACAGCCCTACCTTTGACACAGACTCCCTCTCTGACATTGCCGGCAACTGCCTGATTACACAAACTTGGATTATATTTTCCCTTTAGTGCTCCCCACTACTCTTGGTAACCCTGCTTCTTCTATACTGCCAACCCTCACTGTCTCTGATCTTCACGTATTTCATCTTTAGCACATCCCACCCTGCAGCGCTATATGACCCTTGTGAGTTTAGCACTTAGTTTTCATTGTAATAATATATGCATTACAATCATCAGTTGTCATCTGTAGTTGGTTTACAGTTTTTGGCAATATATATCAATATCACTGAAAAAGCTTGTACACAGTTTAAATATTGTGCAATTATGTAAAAAGCATCTAAAGTGTACTTACTAATCCCTGAATATGAGTTCAGCTAAAAGTGAAAATTATGGCCTATAAATTTTAAAAGTACTGTCGGTGCAGGCTGTAAAATTTTTGGTTTAATCTGCTTTGGGTTAATGGGCTTCGACTGCATTATCAACAAATTAAGAAATGTGTGAGAGTAGATGCATTTACATGTAAAGAGAAAAACCGAACCAACTATCCTTTTCCAAAGCATTTCAAAGGTTAGACAAGCAGATGTTACATACAAGGCTAGCAGCTTACATCACCAAAAATAAAGCATTACAGCACATGCAAAAGCAATGGTCAGTGTGGCTCTTCCTATATTCTATATGTATCTATCCTCTGATTATCATAAACTCTTCTGTAAAAGCATTTTCATAGTTTATCTACTGTATTCTTTTGGCCATGATTTTTTTTCTCCTGTTGATGTTACAAAATCATCTTTATCAATTTTCTCATATACAGCACTTTTGTTATCTAGTATGTGGTTATCATCTTTTGTTTTTTGCTCCTGTCAGCCAGTGATAGCATTTTTAAAAAGCATTTCAACTTTTCATTCTTTGTTATACTTTATAACTTAAGAAGTCATTTTGTAGCATGTATCAACTACTATAGTCTGACATGGCTGGACTTTTTCTGTCTTGTCCAAATATATATTTATTGAAATGTGGGCAGTACACTGTTAATGCATATTGAAAGTTTCTGGTATAGAATAAGTGTTTCTCACAATTATGTACAAGAAATTTTGGTGACAGTCTTTTGTCTCTAATAATGCCTAGATCTCTCTTCTCTCTCTCTCATTTTTCTCATCTTCTCTCTCACATTTTTCAGTGTTGCACTAATCTATGAAATTGCACCTTCCATGTGGTGCTCCATTTACTTAAGCAAGTCTTCTTGTAGGTACTTACAGTCAAGTGGCACTCACTCCCTTGATGACCTTTCCTTTTGAGATCATTTTCCCCTTTCATCACTGTTTGCATATTTCTTTCAAGAAGATTTCTACAGTATATTCAGTCTGCCTATCCATTTCCTTCTTGAATAATTATTGTGACTGCTGTAGTAGTTTTAATAGATTTGATGTACAACATATTGTTTTTTGCTTATAAGTGTATTTTGCACTATGTCTCACTATATTGTAATGACACAGTTGCAAACAAATCACAGAATGGGTGGGGGACACCTGCCAGGAGTTCAGTCCCCACCCATTCTGTGATTTATTTCCACTGTGTAATGTACATGCATACATGCATGTTTGTGGATAATTTACTTTGCCTGAAATGATGTTCATTCCAAATCTGATGTGCATATTGCCAGTGACTATAGTTGTCTTTTGCATTACTTATTTTGTACTCTTATCTCACTGTTAAGGCCTGGCTATTATATTTTTAATCTAGAAAATGGATTCCATATATAAATAAAATTATGATAAACATCTGTTATACAGTATTTAAAATTAACTGATGTGCATTTTTGATAGACTTAACCAGCCAGTCATTCGATAAGGAGTACGTCCGCCGGGTGTCAAGTGCTGGGAGTATCAACCACATGACTCTCCTGGAACATGATCACTGTAGTAAAGACTCCAATGACTCCTCCATGGAAGAGACAGATATGTGTTTATGTGCACCAGAGACAACTGGTTTCTCCATGGGAGGAAGGTACTGTTTAGGTGCTTTTGAAGTGTTGTTTTTAATAAGTAATATTGAGGTTGACAAATATGTGGCAGCATTACTTGGTGGGTAAATCATATAAATATTTAGTTTTCATTTTTTGTAAACACAATGGCTGTTAGGTAAGTACCTAATGTAAGTAACCAACAGTAACAATACTGAATTCTTAAAATTTGTGTTATCTGGTCAAATGCCTCTGTCGTTTATCTGTGGTTGATTTTGAGTTTTTCTACTCTCACAGACTAGTCAAATGCCAGGCTTTCTTTGTGACTGCCTGATTAGCCAGATTTTTGCTGTTTTTAGCCCCAATCCCATCACAACTTGGCAAATTGAGCAAATAAATCATGCACAGTCAACAGAAATTTTTTAAATTTCCTCTAAAGTTTCTACCTTTATACAATGTTTGTAGGTGTAGTAGAGGGGGGAGGGAAAAAAAAAAAATTGGGATTTATCTTCTGCCTTCCATATCTTAAACTCCAGTAATCTGTTGTATTAATATACAGTTGATGGACATGACCAAGTCCTGCACAGTACTGTGTTGATTTTTAAGTCTGTATACTAATATCTGTGTTGGTTGCCTTGATAGTGAAGAGCTCTTGATTTACGGAATGGAGTTATCCTCCATTTCCTCTGGTGAAACATCATTACCTCTCATTCCCCAGGTGCTGTGTGAGCCCTATGGATATAGCATTTTCCCACGAATGTACACCCTAAAAATTGAGAATCCAATTATTTTAATTTTTACTTCTTTTAGTCAAGCAATGAAAGATCTCTATATTTTCTAGCCCAGATCACTTTCCTGCCTTGGAAGGTGATAACATACAATGGAAGTCTGTATGAGGACACAGGTGTTTTGTAGAGTATTGTTGGTGTGACATACCTATCATTTTTTGTGACTAAGTTTAATTGCGCTCTGTAAAGTTTGATCATCAGACATTATTATTATTATTCATACATTATACATTCCATCCAGTCTAAAAACAGCTGTCTTTTATTCACAGCTCATTTAGGAAGTGCAGGAGATGCTTTGATGAAGTGTTTACTTTGGAACATACAAGTGAAAAGTACTTGGATGAGGATAAAGAACTGTTCATCAGATTTATGGATTTAGAAAAGGCATATTGTACATGGTCTGCACTTTGTGTTTCTCCTTCACATGTTTTATCAATACCTAACTTGAAAAGCTTCTTAACATTCTTATCTAGATCACTTCCATTGGGCAATTTTAACTCGCCATATGTTAAGGGGAGGGTCCCACTGTGACCTGCAAGGAGATCAACTAGTCTTGCTCAGCCCTTTCCTTCTCCATATCATAAACACCCCTACCCTGCACTTCTGTCCTCTACACTCTTCTATAGATTTATCTATCTGCTCGTCTTTTGTAGCATTAGAATTCAATTGGGCCCTCATAAATACCATTCTCTCCGCTCCCCTGCAGATGAGTTATTACATCACTTTGGCATCTCCATTACATGAGCTGCTATGCTCTCCAATTCCCATACCTCATGCAGGCATTAAGAAATGCATCTCCTGGTTGTCTTTAGACTGTGCTCATACAATTAATTGGAAGCAAGCTGTGTGGGACTGCTACCTGTGCAACTGCACCATGGATTGACTCCTGATTTATAAAAAAAGAGTAAGAGTCCATGCATGTCATGTGGTATGAACAGAAATTAATTATTAGCAGGCCTATGTTTCCTCCTTAAATGTCACTACTGTTGTGAGTGCAGTTTGGAAAAATGTAAGAAAGTTAACAGGGAAGCAAACCCAACCCCATCCCCAGCCTTGTCTCCAAGGCTTCTGAAGATGCTACAGAGATTGGTAATCATTTCATGTGTGTTTTCCAGAGACTGTACATTCTCCCCATCCCCCTCCTCTCTTACCTTTAGTCCATACCTGGTTGAGAGGTCACCCCCTTCAAGTTTCATGTTTTGCACTGGTGAATCTTATAACGTTTCCTTTACACTTCATGAACCTGGGTCTGTATTACCTGAGTGACAACCCACAGAAATTGGGCAAGATGATATTCATGTTTATATGGTCCAACATTTACACCTGACAGCTACAGTCTTCCTGTTGCACCTTTTCAGTTGGATATGGTATACCTTCCTTTCCAAAAACCGTTTACCTCAGGCTGAGATGCATTACATTGTAGAAATCAGTAATTTGACCAATTTCACACAAATTTCAAGAGATGCCAGTTTTAAAATAGGGTCCAGAATAAACTGCAGACATTCCTGGCACTAAAATAACATTTTCTCTGTTCATTAGTCACATCTCCAGGACCCTCTTACATTATTATGCTTGCTTTCAATTTTGAATTTTTATTCACACAAAAATTAGAAGATTTACTGTTAAGCAGACTACTGCATTATTGTAATAATTGCATAAATAATGTCAACCCATTCGTGGCCACATATTAGACAAGTGTCGTGATTTGTTTATTCTTGAACATTGGCAAAAATCGAATATTTCTAGTACTTTGAGCTCAGTTTCAAGGTACTTCTCTCCTGTAACCAGTCAGAATCATCTCTTTTTGTAATATATCCTCCATTCTATTGAATGAGACCAAAAAAACCGAGAATACAACCATAAAACCCACACAAAAATACAATGCACAGTCTCTGTTATACACCAAAACACAGTCGCAGTTTTTTCTCATTATGCACTGCCTGCTGCATGATTTTTTTATATAGTGCACACTTACCACACAGATCTATTCTCTCATATGTAGGCCCAAATTTACTGGTCACAGTTTATCTGAATGAGCTGAGCTCATGGTGTCATACTATGGGACTGACAGTGACTTCAAAGCCACCTTATCTTTTATGGACAGTGTACAGTTTTTGCACTTTACATAGTGAGAAGCATTTCCTTTATTCATTGGAACCATGGCTAGGGCTAAAAGTGAGCAGGTTATAACAATAAATGGAGAAAAACTAATTGGAATGACTTATGCAGCAAGTAGCGCCACAAAACAGTAGTGGCAGGTTGGTGTGACGATCCTGGAAATTTGAAATTACGCTAGCCGAAATTAGTGCTGGATTAATGGTGGAACTGGATTAGTGACGGCTGACCTGTATTACAACATTTTATCCTAATCCTACTCCTTAGACCTCAAAAGCAAGCTATCACATTTTTCTCTAAGATTTTCTATTAGAGACACACTTTAGTGTTCATATAATTAGCAGTTTTTTTCCCCTGAAAAGTAGTTGTACCACAAAGTTGCATTCTTCATTCTACCTTCTTTCTGATAACTCAAAACAGTCTTACCTCATTTTTTCCACAGGTATTTGGTTGTCCTTGTATACTGATAATTTTGCAATCGCTCATGCAGGCCTAGACTGTGAGCTCGTAGCAAACACACACACTCCATTTTCCTATCGATTGTGCTACCACCTGTATCACTTAGCATGGTTTCCAGTTTTCCACTACAAAAGAAAAACACTTTCACTTGATACACTATCATCCTGCATCCTATCTTACAACTATATGGCACCCATTTTTCCAGCACATGATACTTCTACATTCTTTGGCTTCTTCTTCTATCATAGTATCATGGAAACCTAACATCACCTTCCTAAAAGGCAACTGTCTTAGTTGGCTAAACTTGCTAAAAATATTTAGTCCACTTTTCTTTTGAGTTTAGAGATGCACCTTTGATTTTATTCAGTCCTGATCTGGTCCAAGCTAGACTAAGGAGATAAAGTATATTCCACAGATTTATCAGCTACTCATCAAAGGTTATGTGGGAGCTTTTCGAGTCTTCCCAAGAAGTGAACATTCCTTCATTACAAAATTGTCATGATGCCCACTGCCTTTGTTTTGTCTTTATCACAACCCTTATGATCCTATTCCATACAGAATAATCACAGGTGTTAAGGAAGTTTAATTTATTTAATCACCAACCCCTGTATCATATTTTTCTACTCCATCCTCTTGGGAGTCCCAACAGTTATGATTAGTCCCTCACTTGTTCTATACCTGAAAACTTGCATACCTTCTATGAACTCCCACTTTCTTTTCCTTAGATATTTCCACTTAGATTGAGAGTTGAATAACTATAGGCCAATATCCAACTTACACCCTCTCTCAAAAATCTTCGAAAAATTAATTCATAAACGAATCTACTCCTACCTTATCTCCCAAAACATACTCAACCCCTGCCAATTTGGATTCAGGCCAAATAAAAATACTAATGATGCTATTATACACATGCTAGAACATATATACACTGCAATAGAGAAAAAAGAAGTCCCACTGGGGATCTTCATTGACTTACGTAAAGCTTTTGATACAGTTAACCATGACTTGCTCCACGTAAAATTGTCACACTATGGTATAAGAGGGCACTCCCTCAACTACCTCAAGTCATACCTCAGCAACAGAAGCCAATATGTGTATGCAAATGGGGCAAACTCTTCTGCACAACCAATTACAGTTGGTGTCCCACAGGGAAGTGTCCTTGGCCCTCTTCTCTTTCTCCTATACATAAATGACCTACCAAATGCTTCGCAATTACTCAAACCCACACTATTTGCAGATGACACTACATACGTCTTCTCCCACCCGAGCCCAGTCACGCTAGCCAATACTGTAAATACAGAATTACAGAAAATATCTACCTGGATGAGGACTAACAAACTTACACTAAACATTGACAAAACCTACTTCATTCAGTTTGGTAACAGAGCTACAGATGTCCCTCTTAACATAATGATAAACGGATCACCTATCACAAAGCTAGCAGAGGGAAAATTCTTAGGAATCCACCTTGATAATAGACTCAAATTTCATACACATATACAACAAATTTCTAAGAAAATTTCCAAGACTGTAGGCATACTATCGAAGATACGGTACTATGCTCCACAGTCAGCCCTCCTGGCCCTATATCACTCTCTTATTTACCCCTATCTCACCTATGGAATTTGTGCATGGGGCTCAACAACAAGTAACCATCCCAGACCACTAATTACCCAACAAAA